TATTAAAGACTGGCTGGGCACGGTGGCTCACGCCTGTAATCCCAGTACTTTGGGAGGCCGAGGCGGGTGGATCACGAGGTCAAGAGATCGAGACCATCCTGGTCAACATGGTGAAACCCCGTCTCTACTAAAAATACAAAAAATCAGCTGGGCATGTGGTGCATGCCTGTAATCCCAGCTACTCAGGAGGCTGAGGCAGGAGAACTGCCTGAGCCCAGGAGGCGGAGGTTGCGTTGAGCCGAGATCTCGCCATTGCACTCCAGCCTGGGCAACAAGAGCGAAACTCCATCTCAAAAAAAAAAAGAGTGAGGCACTAAAATGCTTCCCAGGAGATCTGAGGTTTGGTCAGAATTTGTAGGCTAGTGATATTCACAGTTTTGTTTTTTACTTAGTTTCTTCAAATGAGAAATGTTTACTCTGTCCTGAAACGAAATTAAGTTTCACCTAATTTCCCCATTTTCAGTCTAGTACCTCATCCCTGCTTTGCTCTGTGTCTGATATACCTGAGTCTAGTTCTGCTTTCCTAGTATATATCCTACCTATTGTCTCTTATTCTTGGTTTATCTCTATTTTGTTAATACAAGTGGAGTTGGTTTTTTTTTTGTTGTTGTTGTTTTTTGTTGTTTTTTTCCAGATAATAGGTACAATCTTTTTTGTACGTATAATCGTTGTGGTCATATAACTAAAACTCACTTTGTTTGGATTTGATCCTAAAATGTGTTGGCCACTGTAAATGACTACTGTCTTTCATTACCTATCTGTCTAGCCAAGTTTGACGAGTTTAGATCTTAGAGATTTAGTTCTGAGTTTCTTTTGCTACCATGTACTGATTACAAATAACAAGTCAGTAGGCTGGTCCTGGTGGCTCATGTCTGTAATCCCAGCACTTTGGGAGGCCAAGGCAGGTGGATGACTTGAGGTTAGGAGTTTGAGACTAGCCTGGTCAACATGGTGAAACCCCATCTCTACTAAAAATATAAAAATTAACCAGGCGAGGTGGTGGGCTCCTGTAATCCCAGCTACTCGGGAGGCTGAGGCAGGAGAATCATTTGAACCCAGGAGATGGAGGTTACAGTGAGCCAAGATCACACCACTCACTCCAGCCTGGGCAACAAGAGCAAAACTCCATTTCAAAAAAGAAAAAAAACAACCAAATATCATGTCAGCAATTGCTATTAGGATTATTAAAGTGCATCTTATACTGTGTATTGCACAAAAAGTATTTTTCCCTTTGAAAATAAAGCTTGCTTCTCTCCATTTGAAAAGTAGACATTCCAAAAATGACAGAACTCTTTATGGAATGTGAAGAAGAAGAGCTGGAGCCATGGCAGAAGAAAGTAGAAAAAACTCAGGATGAGGATGATGATGAACTGATCTTTGTTGGAGAGATATTAAGTTCAAAACCAGCCATTTCAAGTAAGCATTTACTTTCAGTGAAGTAATGTTTCTTAAGATGGTTGTTTCTAATGGAAGATATATGGGATATCTTAACTGTCCTTGATGTTGTTGTTGTTTTGTAAGGAGTTAGAGGTAAGAGGGAGAGTAAAGGTCAGTAGGAACTTGTGAGAATCAAGGCAGGAATGTAGTTGAAGACTGGAGTAAGTAGGTGAGAGGATCAAATAACAGGTGTGATCAAAAGGAAATAGCTAAGTTAATTGAGGGTTAAGATGACCTGAACAGCCAGCAATGTGAGCTTTCTGAGATTTAAAATCATAATTTTTAATGGAGCCAAGTAGACTGTTTATTTTTTTTCTCCCTTAAACTCAGATGTTTGGAGTACTTTTCTTAAAATATCATAATATGCTTAATACATTTGTGTTAGTGTCTGATGGGAGTTCTAATGTCTAAGCAACTGCCTCATCAAACTATCATCTTGATATATGACTATAAAATGAATAGGTGCTGCATGATTATAGAGTCTCTGGTCTGTCTACCAGCATGTGCTGTAGCCTCTGGCTATACCCATCTTCCAGCAACTGTTTATATCATGAGGGAGGGAGGGTCCAACACTATACTTGGACAATGCAGGCAGTCAGCACATTTAAATCTTTATGGCTTTCTAGCAAAACATGTCCAGTAGTACCTTTGTGGATTGTTAGATTTCTGTTATACTAATTAGACTTGGCATTATAATACTGTTAAAGTGAAGATATTGGTAATGCTTATTAAAATGTCTTCTTGTAATTCTAGCACTTTGGGAGGCCAAAGTGGGCGCATCACTTGAGGCCAGGAGTTTGAGACCAGCCTGGCCAATATGGTGAAACTCCTAAAGATAAAAAAATTAACCAGGCGTGGTGGTGCGTGCCTGTAGTCCCAGCTACTCAGGAGGCTGAGGCACGAGAATTGCCTGAACCTGGAGGCAGAGGTTGC